AAAAAAAAAAAAAAAAAGATAATAAAACTGAAAATTTTCAGGATTCCCTAACAATTTCAAGACTAGAATTAGGTAAAGATTAAATCCAACTCAACTGGTATTTATTTTACCAATTTCACTTTTCTTTTCTTTTTTTGGTGGAATCGGGGATTGAACTCAGACCCTCTCGCTTGCCAGGGAAGCGCTTATTCTACTGAGCCATCTCCCTGACCCCCAATTTCACTTTTCTTACAGTTTGATTAAATGAACAGCTTCCACAACTATTATATGGAAAGCATCTAAAACAAGCTCTGTGTTCACCTGTCTCAATTTCTCTGTATCTGCTTGAGACATATTCACAGTGTTCTGAGTGTCAGTTCCTCCTGAAGTTGGCACAGGCCCAGGAACCTGGGCAATACTGGAGAACTGGGGGCCTTGGGAACTCATGGGAGAGTTCGCAGAGGTGTTGAAGCCCCCCTCTGGACCAGGTCCTGGCTGGTCAGGAACGTCACGAGCAACTTGACTGCTTCCAAAAGAATCAGAGTGAGATCTTGGAGTCACTGGAGGCTGATCATAGGGATCACGAGCAGCAGAGGGGGACACACGGCTGAATGTGTCTGGTGGCCTAGGGATCTGGGAGCACATATCAGGCGGCCTCACCAAAGAGCCACTAGGTGCTCGGAGTTGTACTGCTTGCAAGAACGAATCGTGGTTTGGCACGAGGGCTGGTCTTGCAACTGACGATCTAGTAAAACCTTCTGAAGTTCTTGGCCTTGGTGTTGCTGATGGTTGAGAATAGGAAGTAGAAATCCCAGGTCTTGGAGTCCCAGGAGGATGAGAATATGGATCAGAGTGCCTCTGATTAGCTGCAGATGTAGAAAACATGTCTGTCTGTGTAGAAGGCCTGGGGGTTGGCGGCTGCTGACTATATGGATCAATACTGGTAGGCCGGGGAGTTCCAGGAGGTTGGGAATATGGGTCTGGATTGGATCGAGTTGTTCCTGAGGGCTGGGAATAAGACTCTACCACAGGTCGTGGTGTTCCTGGAGGCTGGGAATATGGGTCCTGAGGTGCTGATCTTGACATGGTTCCAGGCTGAGAAAAAGCCCTTGAAGAATGGGCAAAAGATTCATTCATTGTTGCGTGTTGGATATGGGGAGGCTGACTATATGGGTCATTTGCCTGACTATGAGGAAAATTATCCACAGGTCTTGGTGTCAAGGAAGGCCTTTCATAAGTGTCAACAGACAATCGTCTTGATGCCTGTGACATTGATCCATAAGGATCCTGAGAGGATGGTGCAGGGTGCAAAGGGGTCTTAAAAGGTCCAGCGCCACTATCGGCAGGGGCCGATGTCAACAAGGGCCGTGCATATGGTTCAGGCACCCGCTGTCTTTGAAAAGTATCTCCCCTAGGAGATGGTTTAGTAAAATGATCACTGGTTCCAGCTGCTAGAGGACCTTTCCCAGTTTGTTCTGAAACCAGAGGAGAGCGGGGCACACCCAAAGGTTTGGGAAACTGATCTGTCATCACAGGCCTAGGTGTGTCTGGAGGCTTTGCATAGGGGTCATTATTTGTCACAGAGGAAGAACACAAGTCTCCGACTGGCGATGGCCTGTTGGGTGGTGCCTCGTTAATCTGAATGGGCCTCACCACTGATGATAAAGGCACACAGTTTTCCACTGGAGCAACAGAATTTCTCCTAGAAAAACTATGGCCTCCAGGAGGCGGTCTGGGAGTACCAACCATTTTTGTGTAAGGATCAACTGGAGATGGAGGTCGGGAACTAGAAGAGCCAGGTGAAAACATCTGTGGGGAATGTGGTTGAGACATCTGAGACTGAGATAGGCCATCGTGAATGGGAACTCTGGTCGGGGTAGGAGGTGGTGGTGGAGCCTGTGGCTTCACAAACACATCATCTGAAGGCGTGGGAGCAGGGGTACTGGACAGCTGCTTAGAGAACAGGTCTTTATGAAATGTCTGAGCAGGGGACAGATTTCCATTGCCAGGCTGGGGTGTCAAGGGACTCTGGACCCCACTACTTGGAGTATCTGAACCAGACGGCACAAGAAGGTGCTGAGCACCAAGCTGCTGCTGTTGGTGCTGCTGCTGTTGGTGCTGCTGGTGGTGGTGGTGGTGCTGCTGCTGGTGCTGGTGCTGGTGCTGGTGCTGCTGCTGCTGCTGCTGCTGCTGCTGCTGCTGCTCATTTTTCACCTGTTCTAGCTTTTGTGTAGCTTCGATCTTAGCTTGCTGCTTGCTTTTCTGACGCATTTGCTATTAAAATAGGGGGGAAAAACAATCATGAACTTAAGAGAAAAAGTAACTATGCTGGAGGAAAACAGAAAATTAATTTGTTTGATGGCAGTAGCGACCAGATTGCTTCCATATTACATTATAACTTCCTCAAGAAGAGCAGCTGTTACTCATCACAGTATGCCCATTTGTTCCAAGGGCAGCATTGTTCATAATATTTTAATCAACTTTTCAAAACAATTTATTTTACTAAAACAGGAAGTAAGTCTACTATAAGACACTTTTTCATGTTCAATAAAGAACGATATTAAGTGACATAAACATCTCCTTCTCAAAAAATATAAATATCATTTAAAAGAGCAAACCACTGATAAAAACTCCATACCTGTCTGAATTTCCACTCTTGTTCATGTTCTGACTCTCTTTGCTTTAGTGGATCTTTAAAAAGATCTGCATCAGCGCGAGAGCCGGGATCAGCACTGTCTTGCTGCTGTTGCCTTTTCATGGAATCATTCGACATCTGCACTTTATTAATGCGCAAAGCAGCTCTGTTATCTCTGGCTTTTTGCTTTGACAAAAAGAGAAAAAATTACTAGTACAGTTGAGTGTGCTTTAAAAATCAAAATAAAACTATGGAGAACTTTGTCCGATAATATCAAGAAAACATCTAGGTTAAATGACTGAAACTAGTTGAAATATTGCTGAGAACTTATACCCTTTCCTCAGGAAGGACATACATACTTGTTCATGTTCTTTGAGTATACATCTGGCCCCTAAGACACATTTGTCTACTGGAGATGTTTCTATCTATATTATTTGAATTTATGAAGTCCAAGGAGCAGTCTAACTTTTAAATTCTAACTCCCTTAATATATTCTTAAAAGAATTAACATGTTCCTCAATTTAGAGAAAAGGAAAACATTACACCAATTCTGAAGATAATGAAACTAGACACATGAAATTTACAATTGAGGAAAAAGCATCGAGGAACATTAAGAGATAACATCATTACTAAATTCATAGCAAAACAAAATAGTACATTAACACAAATATATATACACAGCAATATATACACAAAATGGTAAAAATATGATGAATGTTCACACTTTTTAAAATTTATTACAGTAAAAGATACACTGCCAAGAATAATAAGGGCATTTGAAGTAAAGGAGATTATTTTAAATACTCTGAGGGGAATTAACAGCAATGTGACTTTTACTGTAGTAACTTTTTAATTTAAACATTTACTGTATCTTTTGATCAGATCTCGTACATGTTTGTGCTCTACATTTGCTTTAGCCAAAGTAATCACTGTAACTGAACCATAAGTGCAATACAAATAAAGGGGAAAATTGCTATTAATTCTAAAAAAACTTAAAAAGTATGTGATTTACTGTACTTTAAAATGAAAGCAAGAATTTGATTCCATTTGAAAATTTCTCTTTGGGAAGAAATAATTCACCATCTGAACTGTGAGTCTTACAAAATTCCCTAATAATTTCAGGCTAGAACACGTTTTCACAGTTCTTTAATGGAATCCAGACACATCTTTTTTGAAATCATAAAGATTCTTTAGTAAAACTTACAATAACAAATTTATTGTAAACGAAGCTAAGGCATTTTAATTCACTGTCCAAATTTAGACAAATCTGCTGAAAAAATAAAATAATTTAAAGCGAAGTTAAAAGTGGTCTTCATGCTGATTTCAATAATCAAAATATTCTGGTTTATGTGCTAGCTTATAAAAATATTCTATATCAAGATCAAATCAGGACATCACTATATAGTGAAGAAATCTGTTAATAGTGTAAATATGAAATAGCATTTTCCACAAAAGGAAAATCTTTGTATTAGCCTAAGACAATAAAAATAAGGTCCAAACAATGTGTAAAGATTTAACACAGGACTTGTTTAAATACCACATATGGCGCTCTTTCCTGAGAGCTGGCTTTTCTCCACAACTTTGCAATTTGTTTCACTCGAGTAGTCCAGTCTGCAAAAAAAAAAGAATACATATGCTTTCTTAGGGATGATAAGAACATAACAACACAGAATAAGAATAAGAATAAGAATAAGAATAAGAATAAGAATAATAAGGGGGAAAAAAACCCACTAAAAAGATGTAGAACTTTAAGACAAAAGGAAATCAACAAGGGTTGCTATACTGTATATTGTTATCTTCAAAGTAGTTGTTCATATTACCAGATATAAGCATGTAAAACTGGTTTTAAAAAAATTAAGCATTCGGGCTGGAGCAACAGCTCAGCGGACTAAGCACCTGCTTAGGCCAGCCTAAGGGCCAGGGTGCGATCTCAGTTGGCCCCGATCCTGGGCACTCTGAGCCAGCAACCCATTCTGGGCTGGTGGCGCACACCTGTAATCCCAGAGTAGGGGGCTGAAAGCAGAAAGGTCACTACAGTTCAAGCTGTATAGTGAGACCCTGCACCAAAAAAAAAAAAAAGAAAGAAAGAAAGAAACCAACTAAAAATTAAGCATTAACTGTTCCTTCCAATAAACATATTGAAGTTGGTATGCCATTATTTAAGCCACCATGCGCACGCATATGTATTATTTTTTCCTTCTCCCCTTTCCTCTTCCTTTTACAGTATGTACTACACCTTCTGGATCCTAATTTACTCTCAATTTCTTACACTAGAGAGATGACACCACATTGACACATCTTGGTCTGATTTATGTCACTAATGAATTTGGCCTCTAGTTGCAAAAGCCTCTAGTTTATCTTTTTAAAAGCTGAATAATATTTCATTACACAAAAACACCACACCTGTTTATCCATTCCTCAGCTGACAGGCATTTGGGTTGGCTGTTTCCAAGGTCTAGCTATGACCAACTGTGTGGCCATAAATATGGGTGCACATATATAACACTGTGGGATGTTTTCAATTCCTCCAGGAAAATACCCAGAAGAGGAACAGCTAGGTGGAACGGGACCTTCAATCCTAGTTTTTTGAGGAATCTCCACACTGATCTCCACAGTGGTTATACCAGTTGACACTTGCCACAATAGTGGGCGAAGGGCTCCTTTCCCCACAGCCTCACGAGCATTCGTTATCAGTTGATTTCTTAATGACAGCCATTCTTTTGGGGACAAGATGGAATTTCAATGGTGTTCTGCATTTCTTGAATGACCAATGGTGTTGAACATTTTCTCATATATTTACTTCCCATGTGTATGTCTTCATCTGAGATACCCATTCTCTTACAGGGTTTTTAAGTTTTGAGGGCCCGATTTTTTAAATTCTATGTTCTAGATAGTTGTCCTTTATCTGAGGCACAGTCAGCTAATTTTTTTTTCTTAATTCATGGGTTTTCTTTTTGCTCTGTTGGTGATTTCTTTTGATTTGCAAAAACTCTTCAGTAAGACAAGACCCCACTTGTTGATTCTATGAAGTATTTCCTGTACAGTATGGGCTTTTTAATGAATTCCCTCTCTACTTACATGTCTTCAAGATTTCTACCTTCTCTTCTAGTAGATTTAATGTTTCTATTATAACATTTAAATCTTTGATCTATTCTGACTTTAATTTAGCATAAGTGATAGACATGGGTGTAGTTTTAGTCTTCAGCATGGGAAGAGCAAGTTTTCTAAGCACTATTTATTTAGTTATTAGTAAGAAGAGAATATACTTAATGGAGGAAAGAAAAACTTCAGTTTGAGAGAAGAGGACTAGAGTGAGTTGCCCTCCAGCACCATTTATTAAAGAGTCTTTCTTCCACTGAATATATTTGGCCCTTTTGTCAAAGATAAGGTAACTGAGTGTGTTTGTAGTTGTGTCTGCATCTTCTAATCTGTTCCACTGATCCTCAAGTCTGTTCCTTTGCCAGTACCATGTTGATTTTATCACTGCAGATTTGTAGTGTCTCTTCCAGTTCCAGACAAATTTTAGGAATTTTTTCTCTAGATCTGTGAAGTATACTAATGGTATTTTGATCATGAATGTATTGTATCATTGTATCTTATGACAGTTTGGTGAGAATGGCCACTTTCACAATGGACAGTATGACAATAAATAAAGACCAACAGTGTCACTTATTCTTTGGAGGCGCTTATTTTCACAATGTAGTAGGCTGGGCATCTGTAATAAGGAAATTAAAGCTCTAAAATGTTTCCAAATTCACAGCTGTGCACAACACAACTGTCACAAGTGGAAAACTCCATACGTGACCCTGTATGACAGGACACAATAAGCAAGAACATTTAAAGAGGGATGGGAGAGGAAGAGGACAAAAAAAGACCTGGGATGTGCTGGGTACATACAAAAACTCAAGACAAATGTGATCATTATGTACTGCAAACAGTAAAAGGTACATTAATTTAAAAAAATACAAAATTACCTTCAGGCTATGTTAATGAGTGTAAATGAAATATAAATGACTTTCATATTTAGATGTAGATCCCATCCCTAAGATAGTTCATCTCTGAGATAAATTCCTTAATTTTATATGTATATGCAAATATTCCCAAACCTGAAAAACACCTGGTTCCAAGTGTTTCAGGTCAGGGATCCTCAACCAGGAGTGAAATTAAGTGGTATAAGCGGCACAAGGATCTTGCCATACAGGAGGCTAAACATATCCTAAATGAGGTGTGTTCTTATTAAAAACATGGCTTGTAGAGTTGGGAAATTATAAACTGAAGAAGTAGCCAAACCAATTTAAGCCACACATGCAAAACCCCTGTAACTACATGAGACGCTACCACCACAAGACTTGGTGATCTGCACTGACTACCCACTGGTCCATCAACTTGACCTCAAGGAAACAATCCTATTAAGTAAACACCTTACTGCGAATGTATACAATAAAACATTGTGTGTTTTTTTAAAAAGCAGTTGAAGAACAGGCACTCCTGCATTACACCACTGATTGCTACGACTAGGCACATGAGTATTTAATTTACTTCCATACATAATGAATAAGGTTACCAAGGGAGTCAAACTGGAAGGCACCAAATATCACTGGGCACCCATGTGCAAGCCCACACATAGGCTCCGGTTTATGGATGTCTGGGAAACTACTACAAGCTGAACTTTAATAGAATTTTTTAATCCTGACAACACCAACTTGACATAACACAACAATATTATTTGCAAGTAATCAATAACTAACAATTCGGCCGGGGATATGGCTGAGTAGAATAAATGCTTCCCTGGCAAGCACAAGGGCCTGAGTTCAATCCCCTGTTCCACCAAAAAAAAAAAATAAATAAAAATAAATAACAATTCATTAATCCTAAAGTGTCATTCTCTGGTTAGTCTTTCAAAAACATCCAGTTGAGACAGCTAGATGTCAAGGTGGACGGAGGAAGAAGAGATGACCGAGAATCTGTTTTAGTGACAATGAACGTAGAACTTACTCTGACTTAGCTTTACATTATCAGTTAAATGAAAAGTTTATGTCTTACAGTTTTTTTAAAAAAAGAACTATGCAGCAGACTTTTATAAGCAGTGCAAGGAGGTAGAAAATTGATAATTCTATTACTTGAAACAAGGCTTTAGGAAATATGCAAGTAAGCGTGAGGCCTATGGCTGAGAAAATGCTAAGTGTTTCTAGATACACACAGAACATTCACTGTGTGGAGAGCCAATCAGACCAGATAAAACTGTAGCTTTAAAAAAAGAAAAAATCAGGGTCAGCCAAATAGCTGAGCGGATTAAAGCATATGATTAGGCAGAGTGCAGTGGCCTGTGTTTGATCCCTGGTGTGCCGAGTCAGGCCTGGCCCAGGGGCACAAAAGCCTGTGATTGTGACTGGGTGTGGTGGTGCGCACCTGTAATCCCAGCATTTGGGAGGCTGAAAACAGGAGAATCACAAGTCCGATCTATGTAGTGAGACACTGTAGACCCTGCACTAAATACATTAAAAATCAATCAATCAATGGGACAGCAAGATAGCTCAGCAGACTAAGTGCTCTGCTCAGGCAAATGCAGGGACCAGGGTTAGATATCAGGCACCACATGCCAAGCGGGTCCCATTCCTGGGCGCACTGAGCCAGCTACCACGACTGGGCGCAGTAGCGCACCCCTGTAATCCTAGCACTGGGGTGGTGCACCCTTGTAATTCTAGCAATGAAAAGAGAAGGATCACTACAAGTCTGAGTTGCAGAGTGACACCCTGTACCAAATACATAAAAAAAAAAATTTAAAAAATCTCTGAAAATGAGAAAAATGTTAGTACAATAAATAAATAGATAATAGTTCAGCATGGTGGCACATGCCTACATCCCAGTACTTGGGTGCTGAGTTAGGAGGATCACTTCAAGTTAAGAGACCAGCCTGGGCTATACAGAGTTGAAGGCAGTCTGAACTACACAGTAAGACATCATCTCAACAGAACGGGAGGGGAGGGGAAGGGAGGAGAAGAGAGGGGAGGGGCCCAGACCGGTCCAAACCAAACCAAACCAGACAGTAATACATCCATGACTTACCAGGAAATTCATCCTTTAAATTGGGGAAATTAATATTTGTGTAAAGAACAGGTGCTACAGTTGCCATTTCACCCAGAGCCTCTTCTTTCTCCCACTTCAGCGTGCTCCTTTGGGTGTTCGACATTGTATCATTTTCTCCTTCTACAGTAGGGGCTGATGTTGTCCAGGAGCTGCTAGGATCACTTGTTATTGGATTAAATGTTGGGTTTTTATCCCTGGAAAAAAAATGAACACTGTCACTTCATAAAAGTAACTTTCTCATACTATTGTTAAGTATTTTTTTCATCATTAAGATTCAGTATCAAGTAGGAAAACATAGTAGTTGATAATTTTTAGCAAAACTGTTACTATGCAGAAATAATTTTAAAAGGCTAAGAAAAAAATAGTATAAATTAAGTCAGTATCAATTCAAGCTTTTAAATACCTAGCATCAGAATAGTGGGGTTGTGCTATGGAGGAGAATGTTCCCAATCCACTTCCAGGAGGCAAAGAATTATGTGGCAGATGAGAACTGGGTCCAATAAGGCCATTCATGAGCGGCATTCGTGAAAAAACATCTTGAGAGAAAAAAGAGTCAATAAGTTCGCAAGTTATATAAACATAACAAATAGCTTGAATACTTTTAAATAAAAACCTTATATGCTACTTAAAAGGATTTTTTTCAGAATTATGTTTTAGAATGATACTTGCAGGGCAACTTGGTTATGAATTTGAAAATATGCTCTCTATCTTCACCTACGACGTAGTGGCAGTCACTTTGGAACACAACAGACTAGAGTATAAATTTTAATTTAAATTCATTTTTATGTGATCTTATAAAATTAGGGCACTGCATACGGGTTAAAATAATGTGTGCATTACACTAAGCATACTGCCTAGTCTACAGTAACTATTCACTACCTAATAACTTTATTTTAAAAAATGGATCAGCTTTTTCTTAATTTTCATTACTGGATCAGCCCTTAAAAGCTTAAAATCTCCTTCAACTTATTTAGAAGATTTAAATACCTTACCATTTTCTAAATATATGTTAGGCAAATAGTAAGATGACTCATGTTTTCCCACTATCTCAATATAGAGCTCCAATACTTCTTGTGATCATCTAATTAACTGTCTCAACTATTCAGAAATAAACTGGCCCTAGTGACCACCATTTCCAAGAACGACTCATCAGCATTTCAGAGTATATTTTTTTCATCTTCATCTAACCTTTGAAAAAGAGATGTGCACCTCAGGCACTGCTGCCTCTGGGGCCATAAATTAACAGTCTTGAAGACACACTTAACCCAAGAGCACATCCTTTCAAACATGTTGGTGCCATGAGACCTAATGATCATCCCAAAGCCAAATTCCCCTTTAGAGAAGATTCCTGTATTTGGAGAATTCAAGCTATACCTTCAGATCTTAATTACAGGCTATGAGGTTTCACCTCTCTAGGAAAAGGAAAAAAACTGAAGTCTTAATCTATGTTGCAACTAGTTGCGTCTAACCTATACAAGATGAAGACTATAAAATTGCATACCTAATATAAAGCACATGAGCAAATGACACATTTAATTTAAAGAGTTACTCAAGATTTTCTACCACAAGGTATATTTCCTGAAAAAGAAGTCTAATTCTCCCTAAATTAGCACTATTACAAAGATAATCCCAACATTTTCTTCTACAGATTGGACAGACTTTGCAACTGCATGTAAGCCACAACAGGCTGTATGTCCCATTTCTACCAAACTAAAGCCAGGCGAAAACAAAACACATTTTATCTCCACTACCTTCTGGAAGACATACGCCAAGCCTTCCATTGCTCCATGTTTCTCGTTCAGAGCACGATGATTCTCCAGGAAGCTCAGCTTTAGCTAAGTTTAATTCTTTTATTTCTGCCCTTCTCCTTACTTATAGTCATTCACCTCAGTGCATTATCCTATCAATTCTAACTTCATCATCTTTCTTATCTATTTTCCCTTTTAATTGGCACCACAGTATTTTTACATATAATCTACATTTTAACTTAATCCCAGCCACAATTCTTGTCCAAAATCTCTTTCTAATATTGACAAGAGAGCTACCCTGCCACAGACACAGCTAATCAGGTCATGCACAGGCTATTCATTAGTTTGTAGAAGCTGAGGAGAAAAAGGCTAAATGCTTGCCAAATTTTCGTTTTTACACTACCAGGGATTGAACTTGGGGCCTTGCACTTGCAAGACAGGTGCTTATGCCACTCTATCTCCCCCTGGCTACACGTCACATTTTCCTAGCTGTCTACAATCTAGTTACTATTTCCAGTTTGCCCCCTCAAACATTGCCTCATTTTTCCCTTCATGGTCAGAATGTGTTGAAGCTGCCATTCTTAAATACCTTAGTATCATCCTACATTTAACTTGATTAACCCTTAAAAAGAACTACTTTTCTTTCAAATATAAGGACTAAAAATTTCAGCCATTCTATGCATACTCATTTTCTATCTGTAAATCACCAAGAGTCTACACATGTGGAATCCACAGACATAGGGCTGACTGCATATGCACACATGTATGCACACACAGATGAGAGATCCTTCAGGCTCGACTTGAACAGTAAGTCAGCTGTATACATGAGACCCTGAAATATTAGGACTATAATCTTTGAGGGTAAGCAACCTTACCAGTTATGGTGTACCACAAATTTAGCATCTAGTCCAAAAAAAGTCATCTTAAAAAGTTTTTAAAATGAGGTCAAGCATAATGGCACATTCTCATGACTGCAGGACTCCACAGGCTGAGGCAGGAGGACTGCCATGATTTTAAGGTGAATATGGTCTACACTGTGAGTCTGAGGGCACCCTAAACCACATAAGGAGACTCTATCTTAAAAAAAAAAAAAAATTCAAACTGGATGGCGGGGAGGGACAGAGCATAGTCAAGTGATTTTCTTTTTTTTTTTTTTTTGCGGAGCCAGGGCTTGAACTCAGACCCTTGCGCTTGCCAGGGAAGCGCTTATTCTACTGAGCCATCTCCCCAGCCCCGTCAAGTGATTTTCATAATGACTAAGAGGCTTTATAAAGGAACACATCTTGAACCAATTTGGTATTTAAAATATGTAATTTTAGCTATAGAAAGCATCAAGATAAATCAATTTGATTTGCTAAAGAATTTTTACTTATTAAAAAAAGTGGTAGCAATTAAGACAAATGGTATGAGCTTTAATCAAATGTAAATCCTATGTTTAGTCTAGCAAACATCAAAACTGGATTTAAATTTAGAGGCAAAACTGGTAGAAAACCAAACATTTAAATTAGGAATTTTGGATTTTTTTCCTGCACACATAAAAATGGTAGTAAAGATAGATTATCTGAACATTTAACCACACAAGCATAAGAGTTTATAAAGATATTATTCAATTCAGTAAACATTCATAAAGCCATCACAATGAGATATAAAATGTTTTTATGCTCAAAATATGAAAAAATATATATCACTACAGAACTACAAACTCTAGCCAGGCATGGTGGCGCATAACTGTAATCCCAACTCTCAGAAGGCTGAGGCAAAAGGATCCACAAATTTGGTCTGGGGAGATAGCTCAGTAGAATAAGCACTTGCCTGGCAAGTGCAAAGTCCTGAGTTGAATCCCTGGCACCATAAAAAAACAAATGAAGTACCACAAGTTTGAGAACAGCATGGGCTATAAAATGAGTACAAGACCACTTGAACTACATTGTAAGACCTTGTCTCAAAATACAAAAGAAGCCAGAATTACAAACTCCCCTCTAGATTCCTGTATTTGCAGAACTCAAGCTATACCTTCAGAACTTAATTACAGGTTATGAGATTTCAGTTCACCAGCAAGAGGGAGAAAACTGAAGTCTTAATCTATGTTGCAACTAGTTACAAGTAGATTTAAAAGGACTGATCCAATGAAAGAGACAAATTTCCACAAAATTTCTTGAGACTTGGTCACTGGCTTATCAAGCATATATGTACTAAATAGATATTCTTAAGCAATGTATATAGCAGAAAGTGAGACACAGGAATTCTCACTCTAGATACTAATACTTGTAGCCCAGATTATAAATGAAAAAGTGCATGACAGGAGGCATGGAGATTAGAATGGCTAACCTCTGAGGAAAGGACAGGGAAGCAGATCAGATCGCTCTGTGAAAGGTACGCAGGGGACAGTGAGGTGTGGCGCTCTAACAGAGCAGTCACTATGTGGGAATAACCACGTAGCCAAAGTCAGCTGGAGCTGGAACCTGGAAAAGCGTCAGGGTGGGTATGCACATAGTGCTGGTCATAATATGAACTGCAGACTGCAGAGCCTTCCAGGCAAGTAGGTATGTGACTGAAGCTAGGAGTTTTCCATCACCACAACCAAGTGTCTTCTCTTCATCTGTGTAAGTGGTGACTATCATGCTGAAGAACAAGACAAAACTCATATGTATGCACACTTGATTGTAACCACACTTAGAAAAGCTGTGACATACCCGGATTGTGTATTGCTAACAGCTGTGGTGGAGGGGGTGGCTGTGGTAATGGAGCTGGCTGCGTGTTCACAGGACTTAGGACAGCAGTGAACAAGTCTTCAACATCCTTTCCTCCAAGTTCTACGAGGAAAACAAGAATAGTAGTAAGATTAAAACACTATTAAGGTCATAGGAGGGCAATGTCTTTTTTACAAACTAAATATTCAGAACAAAAATACCTGGGATTTTATATAACTTGCCAAGAATTGCTCCTAGGACAAAAGAAATACAAGTATTAACAACAATTCAACAAGCTGTCTTTTAAAAAAAACAAGTGATAAAGAAATTGTAAAAACAGAAGTCAAATCTTAATAAGCATGCAAAAATCTCTGAAAGTCATATTTACTCATGTCTTTTAGAAACCCCTGATGTAGGGCAAATATTTTACCGTCGGTGACCATTCTGTCCAGCTCGGGACTAAGGATCCCATCAAGCTGCTCCTCTGTCAGTGGCCGCGCAGCCTGACTGACACCTGCTTGAGGCAGAGAGGGAGGGTCATCAGTGGTGGGACCGATATCTGCAAGAGCAAGGTAAACACACACAACAGTGAATTCAGAACACACACATTAAAAGTGTGTGCTGTCTATAAGCGCTAGTACAAAATAGGCCAACTAAAATAAATGAAGTTTCTAGTCCTATTTCAGCAAGATTCTTCTAGCTATCTGCACAGCCCACCAGTAATAAGGCTCCTTGTATTTGGGAAGCGACAAGTCCACTAAAGCTATCTTTTCATCACAGTAAGTACATTTCCCAAAGAAACAACAGATTTAACTTAGCAATTTCTGCAAAAAATAAAACCCAAGTTAAGAGCGGAGTCTCTGAGAAGCCATTATATGTTTTAACTTAGAAATTAATGGTATCAAATGTACATTTAGTTATGAAGTATAATATGTAAAACAGAAGGGATAAATTTCCGATAAATGAAAAGCTCTAAATTTTCTATTGTTTAATAAACATCCTTTAAAGTAATTTTGGGTTTTTTTAGGAACTCACAGGTCACATTCTAAAAATATAAATTATATTTATAATGTAACATCCTTTAGCTTACACATGCTATTTTTGGCACCAATCACATGTGAAAGTAGTCTAAGTTTTTTTATGCTTTTTTTTTAAAGCTGAAGTTTTGTCTGTACTTATTTGATCTTATAAAGTATACATTAATAAGCATGAAGTCATCCGCTTAAAAATTACTAAGAAAATCTCCCAAAGCACAATATGGCAATACTATGCATTAGCTGTATACAGAAGGGGAAAAGCCAAGTATGGATTAGTGACAAATGAGGACTACTAACAGGCATGCACCTATAGGTTGTTTCAGCTGAAATCATTATAAAAAAGGACTACTTCTAATCAGTGGCCATCCAATGCTCAGTTTCTTACCAAATGGAAAAGGTGAGTGTTCAACCTGGAAAGTGCATAAATCAAGACCTACAAGACCCAAACCAAATAAAATGGACGATTACCACAGGAGCAAGGAGAGCGGGAAACACAGACAAGAGGCAAGGAGCAGCAAGACTCTAAGGCAACAAGCCTTAGATCTAGTATAATTAGAGATGCAACAGGAGTAACTAGCTTGCTATATATCCCCCTCCTAAAGAAAACCAAGGCAGATTCAAGAAAAGAAAAATGGTGGCCTCTTTGACAAAGTCAAAATACAAAACAAAAAGCAACTTCAATTACTGTAAAACAGACTGAAGATGAAATGTGCTCTGCAAACACGTGCCTCTCACATGACAACAGCAGGCAGGCAAGCAGTGCTCATCTATACCTGGATGATCACCTGATTTCGCTAGGTCATCAGAGATTATCCCGAGAATGTCATCATCTGTGTTCAAGACTTCAGAAATATCAGCTAACGGGTCATCAGCAGTACCTAAACATAGCAAGTAGAGTTTTAAATTTTCAGTATTTTCCTAAGCATCAGACTCTTAAAAAGCCCTAAGACAATTAATAAAATACTTAAGATCATAGCAGATACAAAGGCAAATGCTAGAATAGAAACTCAAAATTTAAACAAAGGCATTTTCATGGAAAAGGCACAGGTTTTCAAAATTTTAGATTATGTGTTGTGACTGATACATACTGATAAAACAAAATTGTAAAAAAAGAACTGTACGCAATACAGTGAAATAGAATACTGTAAGAAACAAAGGAAAAAATTATTATAAAAGTGGCATCTCTAAAATGACATACAGAAAATAAAATACGAGAAATGGTTTCTTTTGAAATTCCTTAAGTGTAAGCCATGTACCAGTGCACTCCTGGCTCTGCTGTTTCTACCTTTTACTCACTCTTACTCATTTATTGACAACCTGTCAGTAGGAAGAGGTCTATAGATTATCTGTTTGAACATAGCATCAATGATAAACAGAAAGGTCTGGCCCTCATAGGCTTCCCACACAGTAAGCTGACACAGTAATCAGACGATATCACTGAAATAAAAACAAAAAAGGGTCAACCTGAGCTATGGGGATGACACACTTGATAAAGCAGTCAGGAAAGACCTTCTCAAAGAGACTAAGCAGAGATCTAAATGAAATGAAGAGGCACTGTGCACAACGAGGAAGAAAACACTCCAAAGGAAGGCAAAGCCACTGAGAAGACCCTGGGTAGAGACAGTTTGACCCCACAGGAGACAAGAGTGCTAACGAAAAGAATGTGAGGAAACCAAAGCCACAGTGGCTGACTGTGGGATGTATCCCCAATGGAGAGTCAAACTTCAGGAGGTAAACCTGGGATGTGAGCGAATGAAAAGACCGGGAGGATGCGAAGGGGTTTGGGCCTAATCCAATAGGAAAAATACTAGAGCTAGAGCTCTTCCTTAGGCTAGTTTCTATTAAATTAACCATCAGTTAAGAAACATGAGATTTCTAATCCACTTTAATTGCATTTTTTACTAAAGATATTTGGGGAGATGGGCATTTAGGTACTTCAAATCAAGTATCTCTGTGAAACAAATAATCTTGGTGGTATTAAATACTTCTCAAAAAGAATTCATACAAAAAAAAAAAAAAAAAAAAAAAAAGAATTCATACAGTTGGACACACACCTGTAATCCCAGACTTGGGAGGCTGAGGCAGCAGGAGGACTCCTCTGGGTTGAAGGCCAACCTGGACTACACAGTATAAGGCCTACCTGCACTATAAAGTGACCCTATCTCAAAAACTTCAGATGAAAAGAAAAAACACACACACAAAATGACATAGCAATTTTTCAAATTGAAATTTCATGTTTTGTATGTCCAAATATTCAGAAAGTTGTTTTTTTGGTCTTTTTTCCCCAAAAGCGGGGATTGAACTCAGGCCCTTGCACTTGCCAGGGAAGCACTTTTTCTACTGAGCCATCTCCCGGATCCCTCAGAAAGTTCTTTACAGAGAGATAAAATTATTTCAATAATGTACTCTCTAGATAACAGTATATTTGGTGAGATGGCTCAGTGGTCTGAAGCACCTACTTAGAACAAGCTTAGCAAAGCACAGGGACCGCGGTTCAATCCCCCAGCACCACATGCCAGCCAGTCCCACCCTCTGGTGGGCTGAGCTGGCCACACACACATACACACAAATAAATGAAATTTTAAAAAAACAAAACAACAATAACAAAAAAAAAAACAGTATATTTGACAGGCAGACACTTATAGCACTGAGCTATCTTCCCAGCTCAGTAATAACATATTTGAAAGAATTATGGACAATTCTCAAGGGAATCGTTTAGTGTTTTTTTGTTTTAAAATAATATAATTGTGGGGCTGGAGAGATGGCTCAGTGGAACAATCGCTTCCCTGGCAAGCGCAAGGGCCTGAATTCCACCACTAGTTCTGCCAAAAAATAAACTAATTAAATAATGTAATTCTACTGCATAAAATTATAACATTTTAGAAAAATTCTGTTGTTGCTTAGAAGTTACCTAAGCAACAGTCTTTTTTCATTTTGATACAAGGTCTTGTTAAACTGCCCAAGCTGCGCTCCTATTTCCACTCCTCCTGCCTCAGCCCCCTAGAGCACTGGGATTTCAAATGTGTACCACCACACCCAGCCAATCCCTTTCCTCATTAAACTCTAGTGTATAAAGAACTCCTAGTCAAGTATTTAAGTGGCACATCCGAATATATACAATAACCAGTCAAGGACCCACAATTCTTCCATTACACACTAATTTAACAACACTGATATGGATAAGGACTAGTAAGTACATAAAATAGAATGCAAACTTTAAAAAAAATGCTAACACTGAACAAAGGGCATAGATTGTAGTCTAGTTTTTTCATTCCTCATTACCAATGGTGAGGTAGATTGGAAAGGTAATGTGTACAAAATGAGGAAAGATAACTTCTAATTATTTCATTAAGTCAATTAAAAAAGAAGATCTATAATGGATCCCTCAGCTCCTCCAAGCAACTGCTTCCAGAGTTCCTGAAAATACCAAAAACAGCAGCTACACAAGTCCCAAACTGGCACTTTATATTTGTACATAAAGTACCTGCAAATGCAGGGAAGCCAATTGTATTTTAAAGTAAGACAATCTGTATTAACAAAGCTGATAACTACGTAGTATCAAAATTCTGTTCTTGTTCTTTTTGGCTGGATGTTGTGGTGCATGCCTGTAATCCCACAACTCGGGAGACTGAGGCAGGAGGATTGCCAAAGGAGTTCCAGGCCAGCCTGGGCTTCAGGCACAAGAACGAATTGAAGGCCGGCCTGAACTGCAAACTATGATACCTACCTTAAAAGTAAGTCTTTTCAAAATGAGTGTATCAAATGACCTGAATAACAACAGCACTCAATGGCAAGAAACCAAAGCCACAGTGGCTGACTGTGGGATGTATCCCCAATGGAGAGTCAAACTTCAGGAGGTAAACCTGGGATGTGAGCGAATGAAAAGACCAGGAGGATGCGAAGGGGTTTGGGCCTAATCCAATAGGAAAATACTAGAGCTAGAGCTCTTCCTTAGGCTAGTTTCTATTAAATTAACCATCAGTTAAGAAACATGAGATTTCTAATCCACTTTAATTGCATTTTTTACTAAAGATATTTGGGGAGAAATATCAAGAAAAAAATAAATATCAAGAAAAAACTTGCCAGAAAAACTTTCATTTATAATTGATGGTACTAAAAAAAAAAAAAAAAAAAAAGTGGGGAAAACAGTGAGCACAGTCTCACATATTTAACTAAACCTCCAGTGCCCTGCTGACATTGTTATTACTTTACAAACTTACTAAGTTCCCTCACTCTTGCCAGACTCAGCACTGCACAAGCCTTTCACCTCCGCTCCTCGAGTGGACGGCTCTGCACACCAAGGGCCACTTGGCAGGACCCAATGAGGCTTCCAAACGCCAGGACCCCGGGGGGCCAGGAATGCTGCCCCTCTCTGCTCCCTCCCCACCACACAGGAAGTGGCAAGAAACCAGGACATAGGACAACATATTTCACCATATTAAGGATCTACCAGCAAGTTTCTTTTTATAGCATTCTTTTTAGTTTCTGTTTGGTTTCACTGAATCGTGTAAATTATAAAAATTTATTTTCCCTTAAATTAAAGAGAAGAGCACAAACAACTATGGCCAAATTATACCCCTTGCACTGTCCTTAGTGAAGTGTAAACTGAGTATTTTCCTTTCCAACTTCTACTTTGGGGAGGTGCCTAGGTAAATCAATTCCCCAAATCGCACAGACCTGACCACTTCAAATAACTGTATTTACCAAATATAAATTATACCTCAACAAACTTGTTTTACAAAATGTATGTAGGTCAAACAAAAGCATTTCTAAGGCAGAGTTAAAAGGAAGGTAAATGCCACCTGATATGAAGAAAAAACCCGTAAGTTATTCTACCTACCCTGAGTTCCAGGTTTTGCTGGAGTTGAGGAACAACTAAGGAGTGGATCTAAGGAAGGATCCAAGAAACCTGTGTTTGTGTTTGTTTTATATGAAAGCAGAGCTGCATCTTCTGATAGATTATCTAAATTCAGCTTGTTTTGTCTACTTGTATCTAGAAGATCTTTTCCAAAGAAAGCTTCCTAGACAAAGATAAGCACAGGAGAAAATGATTAGTTATAAAAACCTAGACAGCAACTCTTCTGTCATCGTTTTCGCAATATAAAAACTGAATACTGAAATACATATCGTGTCAATTCTTTTACAGATTCCTCTTATTTTAAAAATAAGATTTTTGTAGCTTTAGCACTAGAGACAAATAAAATTAAAGAAATATAATACACACAATTATGCAAAATATGTTCCTAGCAATTGCAGGACAACAATTCAATTCCAGGAGATCAGGTTACAGTTAAATTTAAAAATTGATAGATTTATAATACCACTGGAAACTTAATTCATACTATAAGCAAAACTAAAGCTTTATGAATATTATTAATATTTATAGATTACTTGCAGAGGATAACACAAGATTTTGATGTATGGCTTTAATATTCATATATTTCAGGAAGATTTACTAATCTGATATTGATTCGTATACCGTAATTGCATAGAAGACTTCCACTATAAATCTGAAAGAGGGTTTCTCCAGTCATCTTAGCCATACCATGAGTGCAGCTCCTGCAGCTGCTCCTGGCTCTGGCTTACTACCCATCTGCTCGGATGAACATTCCTCCAGCTCAACAGACCTCCACCACCTTTTGGCTAATGTATTTAGCAGGGAGCCTGACTCCAAATCTCCCCAACACTTCTAAGTGACAAATACAGAAGACAAAAGGGAAGCCTGCAGGGACCCTTCCCTTTTGTCTCAATCTAGCAGCCCTCTCTGGTCTATTTTCTACTATCTGGACTGTCTAGAAAAAGGGTTCTTTGGAACACAGTTCTGTAGAAGCCACCAACATTTAACACATTGCTGTCAACAGACAAAAAATGTTCAGTGTAGCATGTTTAAAATGTAAAAAAGTGAAAACATTTTCAATCTTCCTGAGTAGGTATATGACTAAATCAATTAGATACACTTGCAGCAGAAAATGTAATTTTTAAAAGTATGTGAACAAGCTAAGAAAAATCTGCTACTAATTGGGTCAGACACTGAAGCAGCAGCAAGTCGAAGGCATGAAATGCAGCTCGATGGCAGAATGCCTGTCTACCACACTCAAGGCACCTCGCTCCAGAAATAAAGCTCAATGATATGACAAATAATGCAGTAACAAATACAAACCAAGACAATTATGAGCATGTACAAATAAAACAAAATTTCCACTTTTGAAAGGGATTAAAGAGTAAAGCCTGCTTAAGTGATTCATTGCATTTTATACAGCCACAGTTTTTAAACAAACAACTTGTTCAATGTGAAAAATGTAAAACTCCACAAGGCTACAACACTAAATGCAGAGTGCTGAAGAACAAAAACCATCCTCAAAATTTAAATCTTTAAAATTAATTATTTATTTTGTACAGGGTCTCGCTACACAGCTGTGACTCATAGTGATCCTCCTGTCTCAGCCTCCCCAGCACTGGGATTACAGGCATGCTCTCCCACGCCTGGTTTCAGTGTCCAGTACTGCGTACCCAGGGTTCTGGGGGCCAGCACCGCATGTCACACTGGTATGGAACCCAGGTTCTTGTGCTTGACAGGTAGGCACTTAGACCACTGAGCTATCTCCCCAGGCAGCACCATCAAAATTTGGGCTATTTGATACTTTGTAAATCTAAGAACACAATTAAGCAATATTTTTATAAATTCATGGTAACTCTAATACTTATCAACAAATGGAACACTTTATAGTTAATTTGGTGAGTTTGCAGTTGCTATAGTTAACACAGAAGAGTATTTTCAAAAGATTTCTAACCTGATATTGTTAATGACTTGAAAAACGAATGCAAACTACTGGTATAAGGATTCTTAAAATCACACAGTATCACTAAGCTATCAGATCTCATATTTCCAATATAGTAATTACATAAGGTTATGTAGTTTTGTGATTCATAAAGAAAATATAGAAAGAATGTTATCGATTCCCTGTACATTTTTGTCAGTATGTGCTCCCCTAATCAAAGGGGGAAGATACAACTAGTATAAGACACCTGAGAAACAGTACCATTACACAGGCTTCTTTCATCACATTAACTGGGGAAAAAGTTCAATCATACTATTGGATACGAATAAAAACACAGCCCATCAAACTAAGGTTTCAGCAGTAACCGCTAAACTAGGCCCACTAATTTTAATGACACTTGCTATTAAAAAGTCAGCATATTCACACTTTCATAAACAGGTAAGAAATCTTCCCAAACATACATTACAGTTTACAGGTGGGGAGCAGCTCATCTGCCCAGTACACCCAGAAAGGTCTGCTAAGAAAGGAAATGAGGCAGACAGGAGACAAGATCAAAAACACAAGTGACCACAGACATTACAGTTTAAAAGTAAATGTGAACCTAGGATAAAAGAATATTTGAAAGAAATAAGGAGAAAATAAAACATGTTTGAAGTCTGTATGAAAGTAAGGCACAGAGCAGACACTGGACATACCTATTCTTTGTCCCCTGCAATGCTGGGGAATGAACCTCAGGCAAAGGGATGGCAAACAGAGCAGGACAGAGTGACCAGAGCAAGGGGCACATGACCCTTTGAACAGTGGTATGTAAATGCAGAACTCTGACTCTAAACGCTGAACTCTTCAATAGGAAGATGGCCATTAAAATGTTAACACTCAAATTATTAAAAGAGAAAGTTGTATGAAAATTGAAAGAATTGTGTTTTATTTATTTCACCATACACTTCGGGCTGGCCTCATAACACACAGCAATCCACCTGCCTTAATCCACCAACACCCACTTTGTGGGCAACACAGGACTGTGCCACCATGCCTAGCAAAAACTGTGTTTTATAACAAATTCAACTAACAATAAGCTAACTAGAAAATTGAAAATTACGTACAATTCAAGGGTACGTTACATGGCTCATGGTCTTGTCAAAGGACAGAGCAGATGAGCAGTTTAGGATGCACACCCATTGATAGTCTGTCCCAGTTCAAGAAGGAACAGAGGCCCAGAAAGGACAAATACCAGGCTCAGATTCCAAATTATTTAGGGCCTGTGTTAGATTTATTTTTCTAGTCCTATTTCTAGTATAGAGGCCTTTTAACATATTAAGTAACTTTGAATTCTTCTATGATGTAATCTTTATAAGATTCAAAAGATTTTTTTTTTGGAGCCTACATCTAAAAATATAATTTCTTGGGGGCCTGGCCCTAGCTCAGTCCTTTAAGTGGCTGCTTCCACAAAGCTGTCAGCCTCAGGTTGCTGGAGTTCGAACCTCACAACTCTCCCACTGGCCAAAAGTGCCCTGAAGGCATTCGAGGAACAAAAAAAAAATCCTTATTGTTGATTCTTTAAAGTCATCCCCAGGCAGATTGGTTTTTGTTCATGAGCTCTCTA